TGTGCCAATTGTTATCTCAGCTAGGACACATCCCTGCTGCCACAGATTTGAAAAAACTAAAGCTATTCAGACATGCTGCCTGCAGAAGGCACAAGTCACTTAACAAGATTAACAGCTACGGCCAGGAGTGTGTATGACGCTTCATAAATAGGTTTGCTACTGTTGTTGGAAACTGCGATACGAATTCATGGTCTACTTACTGAAGCCAGTTTGGTAACACTACTAAAGAGTGCAAGTGAAAGCAGATCAGGACTAACTCAGACTCTTTACTTACATTATTCATGACTACGTGGGTAATGGACATGCTGGTAACGAAACTACTTCTACATTTAGCAATAGTAGAGAAAAAAAAATTCTGCTCATCCCTATCCCCCTGACATTTAATAAGAGGAATAAGGATTAGAAGCAACATGGTAGTTCTTTGCCCCTCAAAGATCTGCTGTTTGCTGAAAAAACTAAGATTTTGCATGGGTAGACAAAGTAGCAGAAGGTCTGTTGTCTCCAGAAAAAGCAGTGCTTCTATAGCATGTGTTTTTTTTATTAATTCTTCTGCTTCTCCCCTCTCCTTCCAGTTTTTAATTTATGGCAGCTACTTTGCAGTCATAGCTGGGATTTTCTTGCTCAGAAGCATTTGCATGCTTGTTGCAATCAAATGCAAAAGGAAAATACTGAGATTTTGTGAAGAGCCTCTCAGCCTTGCTGAACACAAATCAAAACAGCATATCATAGCTGTCTATACAACACGGCTGTGACAGGCAGGCAGGCTCACCCGGCCAAGCCCTCGCAGGAGAAGAGCTCCTACTGCAGCATGTGGGTAAAAGCAGCGCAAGAGGAACATACAACATAGCCCTGAAGAGTTTTACTGAGTCATTACAGCACTGCTTTGCAACATACGTAAGCTAAGAAAGAGGTCATCATACTGGCACTGTGCCTATAGGAAATAAGTTGCTTTAGATTCTTATTTGCTTGCCTATAAATAACCTAACAGCAACAACTTATCTACAAAAACAAAGCATCGTTGGCATCCCACTGTGCCATGACTGCAAAAAACAAGAGTTCACCTTGCCTTGCTTGCTCCAGCTCTTTTATACAGTGCTGGCAAGTCGCTTCCATGCGGATTTGCTCATGCAGGCAAGTGAAGGGTCTGTTCCCCCCCTTTGCACGTACCTTGCTCTAAACCAAGGATGACAGCGTCGTTTGCACCATGATATTCTTTCCTAACTACAGGTGATACGGTGACCGACTCATCTAATTTAAAAGCCCACGTCACGCACAGCGGTTTAGAAAGACAGGGCTTGCAGAGTAAAGCTGAAAAGGTTCAACTGAAACACAGCTAAGCCACAGTCATTGGCTGGCGTTTGAAAGCTGCAACCTGAACACTGTGCTGAATCCATAGCGATTTCAACCCAGAAGAGCAAGAATTTCAGAATCAGAAACACAAAAAACAAAAAATTCAAAAAAAAAAAAAAAAAAAAAAAAAAAAAAAAAAGAATCCCACTCGTATCCTTTGTGCTTCCAATTAAATTACATTCAGGACCAAGCACTTTCCCGTTTCAACAGGAGAAGGGAGGGGAAAAAAAGAGAGAGGAAAAAAGAGGGAGGAGGAATAAGTAGTGTGGACTAAGATCAGCAAAGCGCATTGTGGAGAAATCTGGCTGATTCTGCACAGGAACGTTCCAGGCTATCAGGGACATCCAAGACGACCGAAAACTTAAATAAAAAGCTAGCACCATGCATACTTTTGAGTGCCAAGTTAGAAGGGAAGGTCCACTGATCGCCGCCAAGGATTTGGCAGGGTCAGTATCTCGGAGTTTATTAAGCAGCTTTAAGTCCTGTAACTAATTTAGTCCAGCACAAAGGAAAGTGAGTCTGGGAGAACAGAAGAGATTTTAATACATGAGTTTGCATGGCAATGCCTGATTCAATATAAAATATATCCATATGTTAAAGTTATTTCTGTACTGCACTTTGTTTCCAGCTTCCAGTGACTACATTCTAAATAATAAAAATAGAAAATACTTAGCATTTACAGAAAAATATTTTTACTGTAGAGACACAAGCTATCATTGGTGCAGACATTTGTGCACTTCATACAATTGTCACATACTGCAACTTGGAAAACTGCCCAGAGGTGGGATTAAGCAGAAGTGAAGCAATTTGTTTTAAATCATAAGAAGAATTGGTGGGACTTGATTACACGAAGCCAGCTCATTTTCTAGGCTTGTTGTTTAATACTGTGCACAGTATGGATCTTCTGTTACTGAGGAACAGGCATGATATTCCTGCCTCAACAAACTGGAACAGAGATTAATAGAGCAAGGACTGTTTTCTTCTACTTTCCCTCATGAGTAGGGATCTCCTTTTGAGACATTTAGTTAAATGACTGAATATGGGCCCTGGAACTGGTAGTTAACTGGAACTCAGAACTTCTAGCTCCAAGATCTCAAACTGTCTTCAGCACAGAAGGTTAGCATAAATATTCCTCTACAGGTAGCATCTGGCAAAGGCAGATGCTAGCAACATGTGAAATTTTTTGCCATTACAGGAAAAAAGTTAACAACAGTAAGCTCAGGATAGGAGCTAGGAAAACACAAATAATGGTAAAAGTTCTTCTATTCTGAACTGGTCAGAGCTCACAGTCTTCAATGCATAGGGGATGCCACTAAAAGGCAAATGGACCAAGCAAGCACAACGTATTTAGTTTTTAGTTGTAGAGAACTATTTTCAGAAAATAGACGAGATTTTTAAACCAAATATATTTGGATTTCTATTTTCTCAAATTTCCAAAAGGAAGATTCTGGGATTGGGAGTTTGGGGGAGCACAGTGGGGAGGGAGAAGGAAGACAGGAGAGGCTGCTAGCGTTAGGAAGAGCAGGGTGAAGGAGGAGGAAGACAACCGCAACAGAAAGGTAAGGCCTCACATTCTCCGGGGTTCTCAGCTCCAGATCAGTGTTACCCAGCATTTGATTGCGGAGTTCATCCCAAAACAGTAAGATGCACACATCCATCCACCTGTGTGCTCACACACTCTTTGAAGACTAGATACTCGAGACCCAGCAGGTTGTAAGCGAGGTTAGACCAGGGACTCTGGACCTCAGGAAGGGGAAATATCAAATAAATTCTCCTTGCCTTGCAGCTGCCTGTAGTAGCTTGTCTGTCTTCCTGGCAAGCTGAAGGATTTCCGGTTAGTGCAAGACCCCAGGACTGAACACATCACTCCCCATAGCTACAACCCCATGAGAGTACAACCCTAACTGCCATTAGGCTGCCTTGGAAACACTACTGTTTCGGGACACAAGTCTTCCTTGAGGATACAATCCAGCAAGTCAATAAGGCTGACAAGGCAGCAAGCAAGTTACATCTCTGTATTCAAAGCAGGCAGGTACAACTGAAGCACTGTGTGGGTTACCAAAGAAATTCCAGACAGCAGCCCACCTCCAGGAGGCCAGCAGACCTACCGAGCAGTGCTTTCTCCATGGGTCCTTTTTCCCTTTCTCCAAAGCCATTTGTAAAGAGCTTGAAACATGGAGGCAGAGATAAGCCTCGGTTCTCCAAACATGCACCTGTCCAGAGCACTACGCTTAAGGGTGGTGTGAGATACTTCTGTAGCTGTAAAACAAGCCTCAGCTCTGTTCAAGGCAGAGCCGTGCTGGTTGCTGGTGCCCTGCGCCAGGGCCACGCTGGCTGCTCCCGTGTGGGACCACATGTCCCACAACGCCCCTTCCCTCAAGGGCAGATTTCAGCACCATCCTCTAATGAACCCAGGCATTTCAGTAATTTTTTTTTTTTTTTTAAATAAAAAGCTTCTTACAAGTTTGTCAATTTACCACAGAGATAAGTTCACAGACTGGTCCACATGTAGAAATAATTTCTGGCCAACTAACAGTATATGGTAATCCATGCCCTTTCTTCCTACCTTCCCAGCAATGCCAGTACAGTCAGAAGAAACCCAGCAAGCCTGCAGGTCTCTGAGCTACCTGCAGAGTCACGTGCTGCCAACGTCAGCCCATGTTTCCTAACATGTGCTGTGATCTATGGGTGAATTGGAGGCCAGAGTATTTAAAGGTATTAACTAACACAAAAATGCAGTCAACTGATTGCATTTTTGTCATGTCAGCTTTTATGACTCATTAGCTACTGCAAGTCTTAAGGCTCTATCTTCAAATTAAAACTCACTTTGCAGACAAAGCTTTCAAAGGAAAAGGCTTCCCCGGTAATCTTCGAGACAAATTCTGCAAGCAAGAGTTGTCATGAATATTTCTTAATTAACATTCTATCAAGCTCATTTCCCAAGTCATTTTTAAAAAGACCTAGAAATTTCTTACTATCTGAGATCATGAGGGCTGGTTTCTAACTCTACATGCTAGAAAGTCATCCTAGGAGGAGACTGCACATGGATCCACAATAAACGCACCACAGTCACAGCTTTGACAGTTCATTCATTACTCTCACTTGCTCACATTAATCTCATTTGGAAGGGATGCAAGATTTATGTTGATGTCATTGCTCATTCATCCAGTTTTTAATATATTTTCATTTTCAAAAGATGTAATGGATATCAAAAGATTTCAAGGCAAATTTAAAGAGTTAAAAGATAACACTTTGTCTATATACATAGAAACAATGATTTATAGAAGATTTTAACCAGAGGTGATTTAAAAAAAAACAACAACAACAACAACAACAAAACAAGTTTCAAGGCTAGGGTTGGCCTTTTTCTGATACGGTCACACAAATATTGCCTTAATGACATACAGCAACATAGAGGAAATTTTAATATAATCTCTTGTAGTGCTATATAAAGACATATTTTCTAAAGTGATAGCTATATAGGGGAATTGAATAGTTAAAAAACCAGCTTCCATCAGCTTGATTCTGGCCTCTCAGTGCTCTCTCTCCTATATATTCCAGGACACTCGTTTCATTTGTTTTCCCAGGAAGAGTGGAACTGAATTTCTAAAGTGAAAACAAGTAAAATAAATTCTAAAAATTAATTTTTAGACTTTTTTTTTTACTACCATCTACTGTAAACAAACAAGTTTCATTCTTCCCATTTTGATCATCACTTTCAAAAGTGAAGTGAAGATCCTTCTTTACTAAGTCCAAGCAGATATAATTAGCAAAATCAAAGAGCAAACTGTTTCTGCATCTTTATTTGCCCACTTTAATCACCAAAGCATAAGAAATATGGCGAGTATTAAAGTATTTTGAAGAAACCCAGCTCACGATGGATACCTGGCTGGGGGCTCTCACTCTCTGCAAACAGACTTGCACTTCTCATCGTTCCACTTGGTTCTCAGAAGGCAATTCAAAGCCCTATCCAGCCTGTTGAGAATGAGCTTTAATCTGACAGTTTGCAAATCCATTTATTCTGAAATGAGACTGTAATGGAGCTTCATTCCTTCACTAAAATCATGCACTCAATTCTAAGTATGTCATTTAGAACAACCCTTGATACACATTAAGAACAACCCTTAACAGATGACGCAAAGAGTGGAATTTAACACCACTTGTGTACTTTGACCCAGGTTGTTCATTTACAAGCTGTATCTGTGATTACCGGGAAATATGGCGAGAGAAACAGTAGCGAAAGTAGGATTAGTTAACATGCAAACTTACCAGTGAATCTGTACCCACTGTAGAGAGCACCTTTATAAATTCCTGTTTTGTTTACTTCTTCACCCTTTCAGTTAGGTTATGGATTGCTACAAGGAAGCCATCAGCAGCAGCTGGATTTATCCCACACTGATCCTCTGTGCCAATGGATTTTTTTCCACGATGAGGCCATCGGAACCTTTTCTCACTCCTTATCTAACTGGACCAGACAAAAACCTAACAATTGAGGAGGTACGTAACTACTCTCTAAAGCAGTAATTGGAATATTTAAAGCATTAAACCATACAGCAACAACTGAACAGGAAATAAAATACTCAAAAATACAGGCATAAATATGATTCTCTAGATAAAGTAAGAATCTTCTGGCAAAGAATAAGGATGCTCCCCTTTTGCAGAGGGTCAAAATTTGGAAGTCCCTACGTTCTTAGGGCTCTAAAACAGCTTCAACTACTGTTTAGGAAATGGAGAGGGACTAGATGACCTGACTTTGCTGAAAGTATCCTTCTCCAGAATTGCAGGAGGAGCAATACTAAGATTTATTTCTGTTTACTGTGGAATTGATCACAATGACAGTGAAGCAATGATTTGAAATAGCAAGAAAGCTACATACGAGCAGTTACGAGCAGCTAGATTACCACCTGTATTACAAGACTATTCTATGCATTCATTCGCCTGTACAGGTCAGATTCACATACAAAAAGTTTTGACAAAAGCATATATTTTAAGTTTCCTTGCTTTACTCCCGTACTAAGCACTGGCTGCTTCAGGAGCACATGTTGTAGCCAAAGGGGCCTTAGTTAACAAGCAGCTGAGTTGCAGGGCTAACGCTATAATTAGAAAACGCAAGCTTAGTAAAACAACATACAGCTAATACAAAGAACAATCATTCTTGATTTATACTAGCAAATACTGAGACAATCTGCTAGCATAGCATGAACCTAAGGTTTCTTCTGAAAAAAGCCACCCGTGTTTTTTTCCTCTCTACATTTTTACCAAAAAAGGATTTTTTCTTCTTCTTTCTCTCAAAGGCAATAAACAGACATCCAGATAGGATGCCTTAATTCTGATTCTTAGTTCTGGGCTCACCTTAATTCTTAGTTCTGGGCTCCCCAGTACAAGAGAGACATGGCACTCCTGGAGAGAGTCCAGCGGAGGGCTACCAAGATGATGAGGGGACTGGAGCACCTCTCCTATGAAGAAAGACTGCAAGAGCTGGGCCTGTTCAGCCTGGAGAAGAGAAGATTGAGAGGGGATCTCATCAACGTGTACAAGTATCTGAAGGGGGAGTGTCAAGAGGATGAGGCCAGCCTCTTCTCCGTGGTGCCCAGCAACAGGACAAGAGGCAATGGGCA